TGCCATTTCGTCTGCATTATGCCAAGTTTTTCCGCATTCACATCACCTCCAGTGTCGTGTGCATATCATTCACAACATGATCAAAAGGGTAAGCTTGTATACAAAAGAATATGGAAAATTTTAATGTTTGCAGAGATTTCAACACGAACGAAGGCCCTTCTCAGGGCTATTCAGAATGTGATTTCAATGACTTCTTTCTTTCTAATAAATAAGAAGTGATTATTCATGCTTAAATGCTTCACTTATCAACTGAATGAATGAATTACAGAATATTAGATAGTTAAAAAGTGTTGATACCTTAGTTAACATCAATCATCACTGTAAAACGTAAACATTTTGGTTACTAAGCTGCTTCAATTATTTGGAATATTCTCGTGAGTAGCCTTCGGTCTTGATGCACATCAGTTAAATGTACTAATCCGAATATTGAAATATATAGAGAGATGGTTGTTTAAAAAATATTGCTTTAAATGACCTCTTAAGCTATGAAAAATCTCAGGTAACATTATTTATGCTAGTCATCAGAACTCCACGTATACGCTGAAAGTAGAATGTAAAATCCTTGTTTCTTCCATTATATTATAAAATATTAAATATTCACATAGTATTTATAAGCCAACTTACTGCAGTTATTCGATAACAACAAGAATTTCGATACACTACCACTACTTAGGAACAAATTATTTTTTTATTTTGTTATTTATTCTAATATACTACTCCAGGATTATACATCTTATACAATGTAGCAGTATATTGCTACAAGGATTTAAATATATCGATGAAAAGATTATGTATTACCGAATGCAATAAAATATTTTAGGATTTGTCCTGGTGCGAACTTGACAGACGCAAAGACCAATCACTAATTATTCGGACTTGTTATATACCCACAAGTACCAGACCAAGGAAGAACACGATAGCGTAGTCGGATGGAATAGTATATTTGGATGGTTATGCCAAAATATCGATGCGTTCCAACTAACTGGCTAGAGAGTCGAACACGAGCAATGCAACGTAACACGACAGCGTGCCAAATGGCGAGGATGCTTGACCGGGTGCCTTCAGCTTAGCCAGTCCAGTTAAACTATCAAGGTCAGCATCAATGTCGAAAGTCGTCAAACCCTAGGCTATTGATTTTGGGGAAGTGTATGACGCTACAATATTATAAGTACATTTCAAATGAAAAGTTTAGAAACAGTGGTAAGCTTTCATTTCAGTAAATTTTTAGGAAAATATTTCGACTGTTGATGTGATCACGGACAGTAATTTTATTCCAATTATTGCTAAAATAAGAACTTATCATTATGTGCAAACTTTCCATTAATACATTTAAGATTTAGATTTTTCTGCAAACCTCCGTTACAGTTATAAATTACACTCAATACATATTGTGATCTGGGCGACTACCAGGACGAGCTTTTCGTCCTGCCCGGAACTCGTCAATGAGTGATGTAGTTCCCGCTATGGATCGAACTCAGCACCCATTGCCTAAACAAGCAGAGTCTTGATCACTAACCCGAGTACCAAATAGAACAAAATATCAGTCCTGGAGTCCTCTGTTAGTCACCGAGATCAACGTTAGATAATGAATCAGCAGTAGTATCAAGGTATCTGCACAGGAGCCCATACACCAACAGAGGTCAAGCAATTCAGCCCTGTATAACAACAGGAAATCACAATTATCAAAACAACAATTACACTAAATACATTTTGAAACAGGCTCCCTGAAATATTACACATTGTCACTGCAGAATTAAATTCTCTACACATTTTTAAATTCATTTTGGATTTAATCTAAACCTGAAGGCGATTCATCTTTTAAAACGGAATTTATCTGACAAGTTATGATTTTATAAGCCAATCTAAATGCAGATAGCTTATCTCAGCTCAACCAGTCATATTCCTACAATTAAGTGTCCTAGTCCAATAGGAAAGTATCTTGGTCACACAAACATATTGACTTCTAAACAGAGGAACCAGACAATCACTTTTCACTTTAAATTTCTTTCTTCCACCATAAAATAAATTAGGGGGGAAGAAGTGTACCGTGTAATAAACGTCAAGCATATAGTATCGTCCAAGCAGTTAAAATACATTATTTTTGATTGTGTATAATAACACCAAATTGAGATAGGTACATCTTTACTGTCTACTTTAAAAACTAATTCATGTGAAATCAGAACATTTATTCTGATGAATAATACGAGTAGTCATGGTTTAGTAGACAGACATTACTGATACATGGGAGAAGATTCAAGATGGGATAGAAATATAAGTGACACAGTTCAAACGAGCAGGGTTTCGAATAATAGCAAGATAGTCTACTGGCCGAGTCAAAAAGGCTGTTGGTGGTTGAAGTGAAGTTAACACCAGGTTAATAGCTGCGTTCTTTAGGTCAGCTGTTGGCATACCGAGTTGGTATCTTCTTTAACCTTTGTTTCAAATCCTACTGTGACCCATATTTCATTTCACCTCTAATCATAACAACATATACAGTACATAACTAAAAACATTTGTTTTCTGAAAAGAATCTACAAAAGGCAATCAGTTTGAAAAAATGCAGGATTTAATGAACTCAGGAATTTAAATAGTACCTAACAGCTTCGTACAATATGTGCTGGTTTATCCGTGGACAGTCAAGCAATACAAGTAACATTCAAATATAAATATATATTTAACACACTGAATGATGATTTGAAGTAAAATGAAAATTTGTGACAGGATCCGAACTAACGATTATCGGGTTTCTGGCCCTACGCTCTACCAACTGATCTACGAAACCCGACTTCTGATCAGATAATAACCTTACTTCACTGACTGAAGTGAGATCAGAATCTGGTCAACAGTTGCATCTCATAGGTCAGATGGTAGATCACTGGGCCGTAAACTTAATGGCCTCTGATTTAAATCCTTCAGCGGCTTAGATTTTCACTTCACCTTCAATCATCACCCAATACCAACATAGTTTTGCCAAGCTACGACTATCTCATATACTCATTTTGATATATAACGTAGACTGAGACATCATTTTGGGTGTAACAACATAAAAAGGAATGGTTTTCTTTAGAAAGCAAGCTGTAGAGCGGATATCAGGAATGGATGGTCAAACTGAACAAGTTTAACATAGATTGCATAATCAGTTATAAATATGAGCAGCAGGCCAGCCCAATTAATCATGTGAATTTATGGTGTGGAAATAATGAATCAGCTTAGGATAGATTACATCAATCATAACAAGATGTCTAGTAGTCACTAAAGATTGTATCATCAGAAAGCTAGGTGTCTTAAGATGAGTAATAATGCTAGTAGTGGTAATATTAAGGTAACAGCATCAAGACTATTTAAGCGGAACACATTGGGATTGGAAAACCAAAATACAAGATAAAGGTAACAATTTAAGACAAACAGACATTGAGGAAGAATGAATATGATTAGCCGATGTTGCAATTTCTGACATGACAAGTTCAATCTGAATACCATTTTCTTCTGGACGTGGAGGCTTGTCTTGATAGCTTGCATCACATTAGCTTCTAAAATTACAAGCAACTGCATTTTCTGTCATTTGCTGATAATAGTGTCTGAAAACACTATTCAACCTGGATAGTAAAAGGAGAACGGAAATGTATCTTCAAGTCACTTCACTCTTTTTAAGAACTCATTTAAAATTCTCTACAACGTTGGATCAAGCCATTCAAATGGAGTGAGTTCAAGGCATTTAAGTATATTTGAAGCATTAACAGTCAAGCAGGTCAAACCAGCACTATATGTCCAAAAAAGTAGCTTCAAGCTTTGTCTTTGCTATGGCTATCATAAAGCCTTGACTGTTCTAGATGCATCTGGTATTATGCAATCAACTTATCTATTTCGACTAGTCTCTTACTTGTTTTCTAGCTGTAAAGTGTTAGTAGTATTACGTCATTTTTTTTCTGTTACCCAATATGATTTGATCTCTGGGGAAGAAAACATTCCTGTGATGTATGTTCACGTGCGTATAGCACAGTAAATGACTTTGTCAAGAAGAAGAACTTTTCTTCACTGCAACCATTTTCCTTTTTTTCCACTATTATTCTAAAGTAATAAAGTAAATGATGAGTAAAGTGTTGGGGCAGGAATTCAACTTTATTTTCTTGATATACCTCACTTATATACCTTTCAGTTATTTAGTCTTTAACTATAAAGTAAGCTTTATTCTTATCAATTTTTGACGTGTACTATTTCCCTACGGATTTTTTTTTCAGTTTAAAGGTTATTTATGGATTGTTTTTCATGAACACTTTATCCTCCAAATGATTATAACTTGAACAATGAAAATTATGACGTATGATAAGAGGAAGATTTTGATTGATGATTTTTGTAGTTTGCTCTTTACTTTTTACCCTGTCATTTTTATCCACATGGATTACATGGGTATGAATGTTGCTTCATTACTTAAGTAGTTATTTACGATAAGTAAACATACACATACACAAGCACACAACAGCCACTCCTTGGTGAAACATGTAAAAATGGCGTAGAAGAGTTCTGTTTTCAAAGGGAAAGAACTCCATGAAAAGCATCCACTTAATCATTTGATATCATAATATAAATCTTATTTTTCAGTAGTAAAATGAATACCTAGTGTAATTTAACTCGTTGAAGTATAATTTCTTACATTTTATAATGTCATCAAGCTAAATAATAATTTATGCGATAATAAAAAGAGAAGACACCGTTTATGAAAACGTTTAACAATTCTTGCAGTATCCTGTTCTTTCAGTATCATTTTTTGTTGTTGGATAATTATCTCTCTTTTTCAGACTTCATTCTATGAGATAGCCAATTAATTGGTAATTCTGAAGTCAGTATTATTTTTTTAATCGAAATAAAAAAGCTGCATTTTACAAGCTTAAAAATAACGAGCACTAATCAAAAATCTGATTGGCGGAAATTTAACCTGCCAATCAGAAAATCAGATGAACAGTAAATTCTATTGACTAGTTATTATTATTATTATTTTTGAGTGAAACAATACTTTGTATTCTTTCAACACAAAAATATATTTATCTTAATTCAATGATATCACTATGTTCTTTGAAAAAAGTAAATTCCAAAATCTTAGTGAATTCCATATATACATGTGGATAATATTTCTTTTTTGCGTAATTTTACGTTATGGATAATGACGCAGCTTATATGGCATGTTAATCAATTATTTTACATGATTTTACTGCTCATTATTCTGTTCATGTACCAAAAAGTAATAATGGCAGATTTCTTGTTTAGAACAACAAATAGTTATGTAATTCTGTCAGAATTTCAAATATGCCCCACTGGTGGATTATATTTTAGCTTTCTTTCTGCAAGCTCTACAGGTTTATTATTGTATACAGAAAATAATGAAACAGGACAGTTTTTCGCTTTGACTTTGTTACCTGGCAATAGAATAAAGTTAGAAATGGAATTACGTCCTCCACAATATCGTGTTACTAGAGCACATACTACAATGACTTTAGACTATTCAAAACATATTATAACTAATCCTAATGCTCAATCATTCACTTCACGTTTTTCGTCTAATTTAAATCATTGGAATACTGTGGAAGTTAGTTTTCAATCAAAAACTAATCATACAATTGATTTAATAACCTTAAGAATTAATGAATTTCATACTCAAAAACAATTAATACCATCAATAAATTTTTCACCGATTCAATTTTATGCTAAAACACAACATTCTATATTCGGTAAGTATGTTTACATTGGACAAATACCAGATGAAATGCGTTCAGATGCAACTGAACGTGCATTATTCAGTGCTGCAATGCAACCAAGTTTTCAAGGAATTATTAAATATATCTATTCTATTCAATGCATGGATTCAGAATATTCTGTAAATAAAGATATTATAAGTTATACAAGACAGTGTAAAGCATATGAAATAATAAGCTTAGAAAATGGTGCATTGTATTTCGAATCAAATTGGAATTCACCGATAGTTAGTTCTTGTTCACTAAAACAAAATTCTATTAAACGACAACTACAACTAACAAATGATGTTGATACTTTCGGAAACAATCGATTATCTAAGTTGTGCGGAAGTAAGTAATAAATTTCTCTTCTCAGAAATCATTTCTGTTTTTTTATGCTCCAATAAATGAATTTCATGTCAAATGTTACTCAGCATCAGTTTCTTTGAATTTTAATTTTAGCATAGTACACCAAGTTATAGCTGTAGAGTTTCGTAGACTGTGCCTATTTCTTGTTGACATACTTATAATTCTCTGTTGTTTTGCTGGATTAAATTATTTGACTTCTGTTAGCATATGGGTTCCTATTCGGATGCCCTGATATTGCCTGAATATTTATTACGGTAATTTGATTGGTTGTCGCTAGTCAAAGAATCCAAGACACGCATTTCTTCCTATTTGGGACTCATAGGCTGGATGGTTATATTGTTTAACAGCAAAGATTGAAGTTATCATCAGGTCAGGGTGAATAGAACTCCCAGTATTTTGTACAATGTTTCCTACTTACAGAACTTTACTTTTTTCCCTACTGCATTCAGGAGTTACCTTGTATACACCTAAAATGCTTGTTGTGACGTTTTTTTAGTGTTAATATTTTATGCCTTTCATACGCTCAGTTGTAATTATGCTATTTAAGTTTATTTAGTAAAGTGTTGATAGACACATTTATCCTATCGTAAAAAAACATCTTTACTTCTTAGTTGAATTAAAAACATGTTACATGACTATCCCACAGATTAGTGATTCTGCACGATTAAGACATTTGAGGATGGACACATTCCATGCATGATCACTTCTGCAGATTTATCTTGAATCCTTTATCTTCACACATGTAGATTGTCCAAAAACAGTTCTAAATAGCTCCAGGAACAATCTACTCATATATTTTTCGATTGATCACCATTTTGTTTACTGGAATTCATGTTACAATCCATGAAATACGAATTTGTACAGCCTCATTATTATCCATTCCCATTGCATTCAGTCGATAGTTATCGCAAAGGCTGAGTAAACAGCTTCTGTTTGTGAAGTCGTTGTAGACAATTTCTTCTTGAATCAACAGGTTTATGGTTATGTAATGTTTTGAAGTATGTTGTCTATGCAACTGAGAGTATCTTTACATAGTGGATAATGTTGTTCATATGCTTATAAATCTGCTAGACAAAATTTTGTCTCTAAAAATAACGTATTTACCCTCGTAAAAGAAATGTATACTTATAGTTACCAAAAAATTCACTACAGATGGTGTATAATAAAGCGTTCAAATACTCTCGACTAGTTTCATTCAGCCACTTCAATCAGGAATAAACATTAAATGTATGGTTTTCGCTAGTATTATTTCATACATTATCCATGGTCCCTGTAAAATAACCGCCTTCTGCGTATTTTTAACTTAAATATAGGCATGTGTTCTTAGACAGCTGAAAATGAAACATCTATTTTTGTGGCAAATGTAGACAACCTCAAGGAAGTCCTGGTTGACCGAAGTTTAGTGCTTGTTGACAACTCAATGAGACCTGAATCCATTTCACCAACTTCTGCAGTCAATAACACTACCTCTAAGTTATTCAAGTTGTGACTGACTTTCTGTTTGACCTTTTAATAAGTCAGTGGACAGTAAACCATTTCACGGTTTTTTTTAATTATGGAAAAATTCACTTTTTTTACACGTTTTCTAAATGGTATTTCCTTTAGTGCAATTTAAGAGGGGATTAACTAACCCGAGATAATATGATTTTTTATTCGTGAAGTAGGCCTGTATTGTTGTACTGCTATTCATACGGTAAAAAGCTCTCTGCCAACCGCCTGTCTCCTCTTCTCGTCTTCGTGCGTAAATAGTATTGTTGTTGTGGTGGTTGACGTTCTGACTTGTGTTAGAGTTGATTCATTTAGACGTTAAGTTTGTATCGTTCGTAGTCTCCTAGGCTTGTATCACTCGTAGAGTGTTAGGTCATACTACCGGTCATCCCAGGACTCCTGAGCACAGTGTATCCACAACCTTCTTTAGGGCTCAAGCCCAGGACACTCACAGTTGACGGCGAGCACATTACAGTTGAGCCAGTGGGTGGGAATGCAATATTCCACATCTTTCTGCTTTTTTTCAATTAGTGTTGTAGTGCTACTTTCATCCAATCCAATCATTGTGTAACTTTATTCACATCCAAATCGGTATACCCTGATGGTCATGAAATCTCATTAAAACATCAGGAATCTCATATCGAACCAAGCCGCTAATAAGAACTTGACGGCAATTTATTTTACAGATTTGTTTGTATCTTAACAATGAATATCAACTTGGAATCAGTAAAATCTTTACAAACATCCAAATTTTATTAATGTTGATTATTAGGCAATAATTAGTGAAAAAAACAAACTGATTAATGACATAATTGTATTGAATTGAAATATTAAAATATTCAAAGTAAATTATCTTAGGGAAAAAAAAAATTTATGTGAATAAAGATAAAACCTGGAATGTAATAAGCACCTGAAATATAAATTTCATACATAATCATTTTTTTATGACTTTATTGTAATTTATTTAAACCAGTGAAAATGCGCTTTATTCCACAATAACAAATGTGATAAAATAGTGAAATACACGTAATCATTTTAGGTATTTTAGAAATAAATTAAACTACACAATTTTTTCATAATGAAAGTAAACTATCTATTCTATCCATAATCCTCATACTACAAAAGGTTAAAACCTGATAATATAATAGCCACTAATCGGTGTAAGAGTTCAAAGGTTCATTTCAGCCTATTCTGAACACATGAGATTGATATTCACCATGGACTGACATCAGTTATATAACCATTGGATACTTCAAACCAATATATAGCTATTTCTTTCCAGGATGAGGCTTCTCAACAGTGCATACCTATGAACCGTCAGGTTTGGTGACCAGCACATTACCATTGAGCCTATGGGAACAGCATCCACTGGTCCATTTTTCCTACTTCTATTAGTTCACAGTATAGCACCACCTCAATCCGACATCTTCCTTGACCAACTGTCCTCATGTTCAACATAGTTGGACCTACTGGTCTACTTTTAAATTTAAGGTTTTCGTTGTGTAAGACACCAAGTTCTTGAATAACAAAGTCTACATAATATAGTTTTTGTGTCAAACAGGAGTTAGTAGATATCCCATAAATTAGCTTTCCTTTGTTAATTTATCGCATATGACTGGGCAGCTTCTTTAAAATATATTTGATCGATGAATCTATCAACTTGTTATTTCTTCTAAGACTTGGGCTTTGGAATCAACACAGTCATTCCTTTTTTCTACCGAACTATAAAGGAACATCTGGTACAGATGTGTGTTTAATAGTATGGAGGACAGTTTTTTCATATGTATGTATATGCATACACGAAGGTGTGAAGAGTGTATCTGGTTCCCAAGGAATCTTCACAACACCATGCTTTTCTGCTATGGAATACTAAAGTCACTCTAACAATCTACACATCATTGGAAAGATAACAAATGAGCATTTTTGTGTTCAAAGAAGGAAATTCACGGATTATTCTGTTCATTTAGCTAATGTCCAGATGTTGACATAAGTATTTTGTGTGCACAATACAACCCATCTCCCACTTCCTTCCAGTGCATATTTGTTGAGCGATAGATTCTTGGTTGGTTCTTTCCCAGAGTGAGTTCTTTGTTGCTTATTATCATTATTCTGGCCATCTGAGCTTCAGCATCGAGCCAGCGTAGACAGTTGTTGATGAATATCTGTGTTTTGTTGGAAGTGCTTTTCGTAATGCGCGAAGTCTCTCAATCATCACATGGAAGCACTGACTTGACTGGATTTGTGTTGAAAATCTGGATGTTGTTATTTTCACTGAGTGCAGAAGATGCCCACACTGGTTTCCGGTTAATGAAGGCCTGTCTTGCTGTGTTTCCGATCCTGGATGGCTTTGACCTCCTCATCTGTGCCTGTGCCGCCTGTAGTTGAAACAGTGCTGTCTCGATAGGTGAAAGAGGCTAATTCCTTTAGCTTTCCCCCGTTAATGGTGATTTGATCTTGTTGTTGTTGTTGGTGGTGGTGGCGTTGTTTGGGGTATCATCATCGCCTCTGTCTTCTCTGCATTCACTTGAATTCCCGTCTTCACTGCCCTACCTCTTCTGTCAACTTGTTAGTTCTTGCCTATAGATCCTCGAGTTTGTGTGACATTAGACATAAGTGATCGGCGAAATCCAAATCGTCTAGAGTCCTTCCTCGGTCCAGCGTATCCCTCTCTTCTCGCCCCTCACAGTTGTCTGCTGCATGATGCAGTTCACCACACTTAGGAAGATGATGGGTGATAGTAGACAGCCTTGTCTTACTCCTGTCTTCACTTCAAAGACGTCATTGAGCTTCCCATTGTGAATTACTTTGCATGTGGCGTCTTCATATATTTGTTGGATGAGACTGATAAAGGTTTTTGGTATTACGCAGTTGCCAAACTACTTCTCCGTCGACGCTGTCGGAGGCCTTTTCAAAGTCGATGAAGTTGATTAAGAAGGTTGACTGCCATTCTATGCAGTGAAATTTTTTGCAGATAAAGTGGCTTTTGTGACTCTGTGGACTAGTATATAACGCTTCAACATTTGAAGCGATGGAGGTTAGGTTCGAATCCTATAAGAAACACCATCAACCATTAGGATGCAGGTACATTCAGCTCTTGAGTCCTAAATACCACTAAACGCATGTTTTGGACTCTGGTATTAGCTACCACTCATCAAAATAAAGGTTGAGTAAAATTTGATCATACACGAAAATAATAATAATCAAATTTGTCTCTTATCCTTGCAGCTGATTCACTATTTGAGTATTTTCCCTTTTCATTTGCGTACTAGTCATTAACAGGCATTTATTTAGGTGATGCAGTGTAGTGTAACTCATGTCGTCTGAGGTTCAGCCTTTAGAATATTTAAAGCCAGAATTAGTCTCGAAGGTATACATGACAAACAACTAACATTAAATTAAACAATCCCGATGGGAACAGCATCACCCACTGGGAAGCAGGTACATCTAGCTGACGAGTCCCAGAAAGGATGGAATGCGCATCCTGGATTCCACTG